CACATAAAATGACATGGCGGGCCACATGTGGCCCGCGGGCCTTGAGTTTGACACATGTGATTTAGAAGCTTGCCTCAGGTTCCGAAAAGAGACATGAAAGAGGATAGCAATCAAGTCAATTCAAATTTCTCTTCAGGAGTTTATAATTAACCTTTTTACCCTTTCCTATTTGGATTTTTGACTGAAAATTGTTTGGATTATGAAGGCATACTACATATGTGTGTCATTGTTTTAATGAAGTACCATCACATGTAGTTTTAATGTAAACTGTTTTTTTTTCAATTCTTAATATTGATTTTTTTTTTTTTTTTTTTTTTTGAAAATGTGGACCAGCAATGCACTACACAAAGCTCAAGCCTACTATGTCTCTATTTCTCTTCAGCTATTTCACAGCTTTTGACCAAATGCAAGTGAAATCTATAGTCTGAAGCCACAAAAGGAAATAAATAATACAAAAAAGAATTGGTGGCAGGCACCCTTGAAAAGATAGAGAGCGGGGTAAATCCTGCTGTGCATTTTGGAGGTGGGAGTAGCTTCTCATCAGCGGGAGACCACAATGTTTGTGGAAAAAGAGGAGAAGATGGATATTTCAGATTGGTCCTTAGTGGAGCTATGGCTGTGCATGATTTAATTGGGACAAACATGTTTCAGTGTGATCACCAAAGGCTGGAAAGGGAAAAGTGTGAGGCTTAGGGAGGGGAAGAAAACAAACATACACTGTATAGGCCAAAAAAATGTGTGTGAATGTGGCTGCAGGGCTGTAAGGACTCAGTCAGTAAAGGCTGCAACAGCAGCTGGGCTTGTGTACAGGCGGAGAGAAGAAAAGAAAAAAAAAAAAGGGAACAATCTTTTAAGACTCAGCTGAAAGGATGGACCAATGCTTTACAACAAGAGATGTTAGTTTGTAAATGGAAATTCAGATGGGAGAACCTGAACTACAACCTGAATGGTGTTGTAGTCCCACTTGATAAAACAAGAAGAGAAGACTGCCCAGAAATATCTTTATTCTGATATATTGCACCAACTAAAAGCAAAATCAGTCGTATATGTCTTGTAGTGTTTGCTGTTGAATTACCTGTTCTCATTTCGCTGTGTGTATCTCGGCTGGGGGTCAGCATCTCCATCATTAACATCGTAGCTTGCCTCCGGGTCCTAAAAGAGAGATGAAAGAGGACAGCAATCAAGTCATTTCAAATTTCGCTTCAGGAGTTTATAATTAACCTTTTACCCCTTCCTGTATGGATTCTTGACTGAAAATTGTTTGGATTTATAAAGGTAGCTGTATACAACACACTGATCAGAGTGTGTCATCCACTTCACTTTTTATTCGCTAATCAAATTCTTTCATATAGTGCTAATTTAGGTAAAAGCAACCGTAAATCAAGTACAGAGGCAAAGCTTAAAAGAACTCACAAAAAAGGTGAAGCAAGAAAACAGACTAAAGACATTGCAAAATGTACTGTGCAAAAATTCAAAGCGTGTAAAGTTTAACTGATATAGTCACAAATATGCATGCTTTTTATTGACAGTAGTGACAAAGTGGTGCATAACTGTGAAGTGGAAGAAAACTGTTCAGAAGCTGAAGAGATCAACAGCTCATGTAGAGGAACCAGCTGGCCAACAAACAACCATTGATTCCACAAATCAGAATGTGGTGTGTTCAAATGTGTTAAAAAAAAACAACAACTATTGTTTAATAGAGAAAAAAAAGAAGTTTAAGGTTTACCAAAAGCCATATAAAGAAACCAGAAACATGTGGAACAAGATGTTCTGGTCAAAATGAAGGACAATCTTGAAAGAAAACCAGCAGAAGCTGCAGAAGATTTGAAACTGCGCCAGAGATTCACCTTCCAGCATGACCCTGAAAAAGCAGCCAGAATTTAAATTGAATAGCTTAAATCAAAGTACATTTACAAGTACATTGCAAAGAATTAGAATATTGTAAAAATGTTCAATATTTTTTTTCACTCATCTCAGAAAGTGAAACTCAATAGTCACAAAGATTCATTAGGAAATCAGTGAAATATTTCAAGCCTTTTTTTCTTGCAATTGCTATGGTTCTTACAGACAACAAAGCCTCCTGGAATGTGTCTGAAAAATACTGAATCTTACGTAATGTCTTTGCAAGGATATTGTAATCTGAAAGGTCAGGCTTTTAAAATGTAGGTCCATATCTATGCATGCAATACTAGCTGTGACCTCTTTTTGCATGAACACAACAGAATAGAGAAGAATAGCATGGGATAGAACAGAATAGAAGTATCCCTTAATGTTTCCCAGTGTGGAATCTCTCAGGTGTACCAGCAGCAATGTAAAAGGCCAATGAAGGCATATGGATTCACTCAAAGGCCCCACAATACAAGAAAAATTTTAAAAAATGTACAGCTATCAAAATAAGCATACTTAGGTTGAAAGAAATCTGCAACTGAGTAGGATAATTTAATTAAAATGTACAAAAGATAATTTACAAAAATGGAAAAACACCCATAACAGCAGTTATGGCTGTTATAGCAGCCATAACAGCTGCCATAACTGTAATGACTGTCATAACAGTTATGGCAGTCATAACTGATTGTGCTACTTGTGCAGCACAATCACAAGTAGACCTGCGATTGTGCTACTTTGTGCAGGCAGGACGCATCAGTCTGTCACTGAAGGAACTCTTCACTTCTGCAACAGCCTCATGCATGGGGTGGGAAACATTGTGAAAGAGTGGGGCTGTTTTTTTTTTGCCAAAAGTCTTTCTGTCCTCCACCACCTGCACTTGATAAGAGGGGCATCTTAGGTCAGTCCTGACCTTCCTGTTTAACTTATATTCTCTTTCTCAGTAGTAGATTAGCTGCTGCTCCACCAAACTACACCATAAGATGGCTGATGCCACCACAAGGTCCAAAGCTCCAAAAAAGGTGAGAGCTCCCTGCACTCCAAAAGATCTTAGTCTTAGTAGGTAGGGTCTGCTCTGATATTCCTGTAAAGAGCATCAGTGTTGTATACGGCATGGAGGTGATCTGCCTGTGGCTCCACTGAGGTGGAATGGATGCCTATGTTGCCAAAGCTGCGCTATGTCATAGTTCTGGGACGCCTGACTGCTCTGTCATCCATCGTTCCTCTGCTGCACCTGCAAGCCGCTTCTCGGCAGTAATCAAGTTATTCCCTGCACCTGTTTTCCTACATTTATACGCAGCTTTCCAGCATTCCTTTTCTGCCTGATCACAACCGAGTTACTTTTTCAGTTTTTTCTTGTTTTGATCTTGTCGGATACCTCAATGACTTCTGTTTTCTTGACACCAATCTTATGTCTCATGCCTGATCCACGGATCAATCTGTCTGCCTGACCCTTGCTTGTTCCACGGATCTGCCTCTCACCTCAGTGAGATTTAATGTTGGGGGTAAAAGATGCCTGTTCCACTCAGCACTGTGCCTGTTGAAACATCACCACACTCCCATCTTACTTTATCTAAGAACTAAAGGCTGCTGCTCATTATCCCAATCCTTCGCCTGGTCTCTGAAAAGGTTAGTGGCTCCCTTTTCTGAGTTTTCTGCTTGTCACTGGCTCTTCGGCAGCCACTAACCCATGTCTCCTTTTTCCAACTCCCCTGTGAGTTTCTCCAGGAGTTTCTTGTTTTTCACTATGCTTAAATTTTGGCTCCTTACCCTGATCTGTTAGGTCATCTACATTGTTGGGTTTGGTGTCTCTCTTATTCATCTTGACAATATCCCATAGATTCTTCATGGAGTTCAGGTGAGGAAGATTTGCTGACCAATACAGAACAGTAAATATCACTGTCAATCAATAAATTTAGGTATATTTGTCAATGTGGACAGATGCCAAGTCCTGCTATAAAAGGAAAATAAACATCTCAGTAAATGCTTATCAGCAGAAGTAAGTTCTGTCCAAATGTTCTTGTAGATGACTGAAACAAACAACACCAGAGATTTATCCCCTGCCACACTTTTTCCTCCCACTCAACTTTCTATGAATATGTTATGAGTTGTTTTTCAATATTCACATTTTCTAAAACACTAAATTATAAGTTTTCATGATCTGAAAGTCATAACCACCAAAATTACAACAAAGGCTGTAAATACACTAAAATGAATCTATGAGCTATCTATAATTTTCTGAAATGAGTGATTAAAAATATTGAACCTTTTCATAACATTCAAATATTTGAATGTACTGTTGTATGTTATAATGATCCAAGCCTAATTGAAAATCAGTGGTAAGATTCAAAAATTGGTGTTCCCAGAAACACTCAATTTATTCTGAGTTTGGGCCATTTCGCAACATCTCTAGATGTGCAAAGCTTGTGGAGGGATACCCTAAGAGACTTGCAGCTGAAAAGGCAACATAATTGGGTTTTACAATGTATTGATTGGGGGTTGGATAATGAAGAATTTTGTTCCCATTTACAATTCTGAGCCGCTTTGTGTCGGTCCAACACACACACAAAAATATCTAAAAGGGGTATGGATTTGTGAGGTATCACTCATAAAACCAATTAGCTATACAGCAATATATGTAAATATAAAGGCAACAAGACAGAGAAATAAGGAGAAGTGTTTCAGTATTATGCTTCCACACTAAGAAGCTTGATCCACATGAAAGGATCCAAAAAGCTGCAAACTCCCATCCTCCCAGTCAGAGCTTAAAAAGTCTGGGAGGAGGAAATCCTTTGCCCTGCTGTGAGCATTGACTTATGGTGTAGTGATAGGAAATAATGAGATTTTTAATGTAGGATGAAAACTGGCCATTAAAGGCTTTATATGTGATAAGTAGGATTTTCATAGGGAGACAAATTATGGATGTTAGCATAGGAGATATGTGATCACTCCAGAACCAGTCAATACTTTGGTTGGGCAGCTTTGAGCCTGTTGTGTGGTATTTAGGGAACTAATTGGTCCCACAGCTAGAGCAGAATTTCGGTTGTTCAAAGTATAATAGACAAAGGCATTGACCAGTTTCCCTGGATCAAATTTGGACATGTTTAATTATTTAAGTTATATAAGTGTGGAGGAAAAAAAAAATCAATATACAGGTGGATCAAATTCATTTAACAATTATTCACTTGTTTGAAAAATATTTAATAAATCATATCTAACATCAAACAGTGCACTGTTGTTCCAGTTCTGTTGACTTACGTTTTACAGTGTACAGCCGTGCATATTTATGTGCTGGAAGCTGAAAGGGGGCTCCACCCAGGGACCTATTTAAGTAAGAATCACCCCTGCTTGCACTGTCAGCAGCACACTGAATATTCACAGCAATGTTTAAGCACTTCCATGCACTTCATGCCTAAAAATAGTTTGTCTTGTGACTTTTTTGCTTTTCCTAATTTATGGCACTGCATGAATTCAACTAAGACGTTTGCTTATGCAACAAGCTCCCTACAGCTGAGAATTGTTATCACCAACATAAATTTTGCAAACTAAAGCTCACTTTGCAAAGTGTTGCCTTTTTGCAGATAATCTGGAGCTTATATAACAACAGGCTCCAACAGAGCAGGTTCGATTGTGGCAATATAAAGGGCAGCTTCATGAAACTGGAAAACACATGTTGCTCACCCGTTAATCTTACATGACGAGCAATACGGAGGGGTGTAAACACTCATACTGAAAATGAATAAAACATGGCTGTAACATATCCAATTAATATTATAGATAATGAATGTTTAAACCCTAATGTCACTAATGCAAAGCTTTTGACTTTAATACCTCACAAACCAACAGTAGTCTTCTCTGATTTATGAAAACAGAGGATTGCTGTGAACTAGTTTATCTGAGTACATTGTAATAACTGATTTGGGACAAATTATGCTGCAGTTGCACCTGTGCATTTAGCATTTTTAACTTACATAATTGCTGTGGAGGTCAGGGTGGTCCTTTTCGATCCCATCATCCAAAATGGTCACCACTACACCTCTCCCAGTGTAGCCCTGAGCCCAGGCTGCTTTCGTATTCAAGTCTTGATGTGTTGGATTGGACTGAAATAAACAAAAGCCTTTTGTTTAGGTGTCTATTTGCTTTGAGCCACACTTCTCAAACAAAAACCACCAGAAAGTGTTTGTCAGCGACAGAAAAGCTCAAGTCATCTGCAAACCACCCGCCCTCCCCCCTTTATTTAGATCACTGAATAAACACAGCAATGTTTAACATTAAAGTACAAAATGGCAAAAAAAAAAAAAAAAAAGAAAGACAACTTGTTGCAGTTCAGCAATCCTTTTGAAAGTATTTGGCTCTTGACGTAAATAACAGACTGTGAGCTTTTGAGTGGAAGGAGAAGGACACAAAAAGGGGTTAGAGTGTGGTTGCTGAAAGTCGTACTGCGAGAGGTATAAGGGAAAGTAAGCACTGTAGGTGGAAGAGGTGGTTAAAGATAGACTCACACTCAGAGAACAGAAAAACACCCTCCTAAAACTACACTGTTCTGCGCCATGCTTTGTTTGTACAGTTCATATAAATCTTTTATTTAATCATTTCATTTTCAAGCAATCATATCACACTGGTGGCATAAAGACATATGCAGTCTGTGAGGCGATACTCAATATTGGGTTTGGAGAATATTGAAGAATGAGGAAAAAAAAAGATATAAAGAATATTTTTGGTAAAAGTAGGAAACAAATAATCTTAGAGTCAACTCAGAGTCAGCCTCCAGTGATGATATTGTTGTAAATATCTCAGTTGGTTAATGTTTGATCCGCTCTGCGTTTTATTTTTATTTATGTGTAGGATCATTGTGCAGGAAGACATTTTGACTACTCAAATCACATAATCTCTGTCTTCCTAAACCAATGTCGCCAGTTTACTTGGTAGTGACATTTGAGACAAGGTGATTTAAAAAAATTATTCATAATCGCAACCACTATTAAAAAAATCACTGATTTAAAACTCGTTTGACAACATGAAACTCGCCAAAGGATAGTGGAATGCAACACATTATGTTTCCAACTAAAGAGAGCAAAAAGTCCCCAAGAGTGCATTAATGATTCACGCAGAAATGTAAAAAAAAAAAAATAAAATAAAAAAACCAAAAACAATATCCAATGCACCGCAGGACCTGCCTCAGGTTAAGGTCAGTGTTTCAACGGTAAGAAAGAGTCTACTCAAAAATGACATTCATAAGAGGTCAAAAAGGCCAAACTTCTTCAGATCAAAAAGGAAAAAAAAAATGCCTGTCTCACATTTCCCAAACAATATTGTGATGGTCTCCTGAATTTTATTTGAAATGTGTAGATAGCGCTACATCTGCAATAAAACCAACACAGCAGTTAGACACGCAGTGACAGAGTGACGGTCTGCTAGGCCTGGGCAACAATAACCATCGGTGATCGGTACTAATAGAAAACTGATATATGATCAATAGCAATAGAAAGTACAATCGATAGAATGTTCGATAATTTCACTGAAGTCCAATCCGGAACCACACAGAATTCTTGGGGACGTAGGCAGAGGAAAGGCTTTAGTTTCTATGCTGTGAGCTTTAACGGGCAGCACTAGCACATAAACCTCAAATGTGACATTAACGAATCAATTCTTCAAAGCAGAGTGGGCTAAAAATGCTCCTCAGTGACTGATAGCTGGTTATTGCAAATGCTTTATGGCAGTTATTTCCAACCAACCAACTCTTTAGGTTTTGGAAGGCAGTTATATTTTTTTCAAATAGCACAAATTTGGTTGAAAAATGGGCTCACCAGAAAACTTTTTTTTTTTTTTTGCATTTGCTCTGTTATCATCAACATTTGTTTGATGACCTAAAAAACATTTAAGTAATAAAGGCAAAAATTCTGCAAGGGGGAAAAATATTGCTTCGCAGCACTGAATCAATCTGTATACTGATATAAAATAACTCTCACTATAGTAAAATTGTTGTGATGCCAAGACAGCTATAGTGGCTCTGTGGCATGTGGCTCAGACTAGAGAAGCTTTATTATCCTCTTATTTCTGAAGTCACAGTTGGGTAGAATATTTTGAAAGGAAAAGCGTGTTAAGACAGTCAGACATTTTAAAGTCTAATGCTAAATGTCAGAAGCAGTTTCATGTCTTCCATTCGCTGTTGTCTTGTGCCATGCTTGGTCTGCTGCAGTGACAGCAGTTTAAGGTAAATGAAGAGGAACAAAAAGGAAAGATTGGGAGGGGGGGGAAATTGGAGCTTTTCTAAGAAAGGCTGTGAATAATGAAAAAGACATAGCACAGCAGCAAACAGTATTAATGTTTTACAGGTGATACACCTTCAGTCAACATCCTAAGACGTCATAAATTATACATTTAACTCCCAAACTCTTGCTGGTGATCAAGACGACAGATGAATGGGTGAGCTTAATGCATAGTGGGACAATTTCTGATTAGCTGACTGATGACAAGGATTCCTAAAATACAAATACAAAACAATATAAATAAATGCACACATCTCTATGATTTAGCCTTCATACTTTATAGCTAAATTTATTTGTTGACAGTTCTGTACTTCAATGATGTTAGAAGTATGTACCTACGTAGTAAGTACTGTTGCGTCATATATTTAAATGAGAAGGGAGGCCAGAACCTACCAGGTACCACTGCTTGGAAAAATCTGGGTCTGTGGGGTCTTCAAAGATATCCCTCTTCTTTCTTCTTTTCACCACTTGCTGTTCCGCCCACAGGACCTGGAGTGCCCAGACACACAAACACACACAAACAGAGCGTACAAATAAATAAACCCACGCACAAAGGAAAATTCACAGTTTACACTGCTGCCCTCACATCATATTTGTTGTTACTAATGTTCCTGTTTCAGATGTGATTGCAGTGTCAAACAAGACTAGAGACAAGTGAAAAACATGGTCCCAACTGGGTTCAGAAAGTAACAACTAAACAGAAAAGCAGAGATGTAGAGAAAATCGGATTTGCTTCATTGCTCAGGTTCCAGAAGAACAGTGGCTCCTGCACCGTTTTGTGTTCTTTAAAGAATAACCAGTGCATTAAACCTACTATATAAATAATACTTGTGGTGAAACATGGTAAGTTAAATTAATTTATAGTTCACATACATTCATCATGGGCGTTAATATAATTTTTGATCTATGAAAAGATTAATTGAAATCACAGTTTATTTATTGTATAACAAACTACTTCAATGAAATTAAACTTTGAAGTTACTGTGGATAATCTCTAAGACATACATAGTCAAAATTAAATATACAAATATGTATAGATGTCCTCACTAATATCTGGTTTAAAGTCACCAAGTTTCACCTTACCACACATTTTTATAGCCATTAGCAGTATAAAATTCTGGGTTGATATTTCACATCTTATCTTTGCAGGTAGAGTTAATGTAAAATCTTTTGTAGATTCTTAAAAGCTCAAAGTTTGTCTTCTTCGTCTATTCCAAAGGTCCTGCTGCATTTTTGTGATCGTTGTCCTGCAGGAATTCAAGGTTGCGCCAAAGTTTGATGTATCTGCTTCAATCTGTCATCTTTATATAAAACTTAATGGATAAGGAAGCGCAGCAAGAATCCAAGCACTGTCAAGGCTTTGACTTAAACTGGAAGATGTTGGAACGCCAGTATCACTGCCCACAAGAAAGACATTTTAATATCAATTTGAAGACTGAGAGGTTGTCTATCAAGAAAGAAGCACCTGCTTCAAAAATGACACCATCAAGAACCATAAAATTTGCAGCTGCCTTTAAGGACAAGCCACCTGCCTTCTGGAAGACAAAATCTTTTGCCGAACACAAGGATTAAGAAATCTGGCCACGGTTGGAATAATGTTTGAATGAGTTTCAGCTAAGCTTTCAAACTTAAGAAGCCAATACATTGCCAACTATTACAAGCAGTATTGTGTGGGTCTATTTCTAGGAAAACCATTAAATTGCATAAAGTTGGTGAAATAATGAAAACGGAGGAGTGCCTCTGAATTCTTGAACGCTTCAAATCAATGACCAATGACCAACAGATTTTAATGTGCGCCTGCAAACACACATTAAAATGCATTTTGGAAGGAATAACAAAGGTTTAAATTATGCTTATGGAGTGTTTCCAATATGAAGACTATTCAAAATTTATGTACTGTGCTTAAGACTCAGGTTCGTGCCAGGAACCAACTAACTTAAATTAACTTCAACATGCTGATAAAAGGAGTGGTCAAAAATACACCCAGAATTAAGTGACCACTTTGTTGAAGGCTACAGAGAATTGATAATTGTGTGGAGGACTCGCTACCATCTAAAGGACATTTACTCAGAGTCGTCATCTGCATATATTTGAGTCAGCATGAATAATTTGGTCAATTCGTCCATTAGAAAAATCCACAATTTAAACTCATTCATCCAAGTACTGTTTTTAAAATGCATTGTGTACAAGTGAAATGCAATCACATTTGAATAGATGTGTTTGTATTTATATTATTATTCCATAATCGAAAAGTCAAATAAAGCATCAAGTGCATAAAATGAAGTTGACCTTCATTAGTGCATGCAACCTTCTGAAAGGACCAGCAAGTGAAACAGATGGGTCTTTTAAATCCTTTCTATAAAACCGTTCACTCTGCAAACAGAACAAATGTGATTGTATCCTTAGAACCAAATGATTTAAAATACTTAATAACAGAGAGAAAAAAGCACCCTGAGGTCCAGGGCAAGGACAAAGACTTGACATACACCAGCGCACAAAGCAGCAATCATAAAAGAAGAGGGAGGTCTCAGCATGGGTTAGGAGGGCAATTTGCATGAGCAATAAAATGTTTCTTTCATTTTTGCCAAGTGTCCTGAGGATGTTTACCGTTTGATTACTAAGGAGGGAACCTGCTGCTATTATTTGTAATAGAAATAGACTGGAAACAGCAGATCTGAGGTTTTGATTTGTAGCTGG